GGATTCCTAGCATGAAGAATTATCAAAGTAAAAAATTTTATATGTTTATATATTTATTTATATGTTGAAAAATTTTAGTACTAACGATTAAAATTAGTTAAAAAATTGGATCCAAAATTAAATAGAAATAAATAAAGGCTTCGTTCGTTTGAACAAAAATGGATCTTACTAAAGAATAGGAATTGAAATTTTACACAATTTTTTAAAACTAAATTTTCATCAAAAATATTAGAAATTAATAAAGGCTTCATTTGAGAAAATAGATTGCGCCAAAGAATAAGAATTGAAATTTACGACTTACAAGTGCATGTTAATATTTGTAATATATATTAATTATCTAATTTTATTAAATTGCATATCTGATATATCTGTTTACTGAATCTTATTATTTCCGAAATCTATAACTTAACCGAATTGCTGAAAAATCATTTGGCTAATTTTTATCAGGTGTTTTAAGAATTATGATAATAGATGTAAATGTTTTTAACCCTTTTTTTTAAAAAAAAGATGTTACTATATAAATTCGAACTTATTAGCACTGGTAAAAAATAAAAAATTTGATCTGCCAAATGGCACTATTTGACATCCCTTTCAATGCTCTATTCAACTTGTCATATGATTTCATGTCCGTAAAGTCATGAATGCAGGAATAGTGCATGTCGAATAGCATTCAAATAGTGCTATTCGGCATATCGAATTTTTTATTTTTTATCAGTGTAGTATAAAAAAAAAATTTATTTGATCAATAAATTTATTTGAAGTTCATATGACCCATATGACCCATTGACCCGAGTCATAACCCAGTTAAATGTCTGACCTGTCGGGTCACTATTATTTGACCCGAGTTGGAACACTAGTAGATAGAATTATACTTCTACCATGTTAAGGGATTAGTATCTGGTTCTGGGGGTGAGGCAAGGTAGTTGGCTATTTCAGTTGTTAAATTTCTTGAATTAGTCGTTTCATTCTTATTTAGTTGAGCTAATTTGTGAAAACTATCTAAAGAATTTTTTTGTTTAGGTGACTCAATCACCTTATTAGTGCAATACATTGAATATAATTCTTTTAACTGAATTATAACTAATTGGTATTTCATCTCGTTAAAGGTTTCAAGTTTAGTAAATGGATCGAGAATTGTAAGAATTATAGAAGATTGTGAGAGATAAAGCCAGTAATTTTTTAATTTCACTTTCATCTCACTTGCCACTTTATAATATGTATTATTATTTAAAATATAATAATCTAGATACACAAAAAGGCCTTGAACAATTATCTGTAAGGATTCATGGAAAGGTAATGAAGTGTTTAAAAGTATCAATGTTGCTTTATAAAAAGGTTGAAGAAATTTTAGCATGTCTTCAATAATTTTCCAATTATTTGGCTCCAGGTATTCATTTTTTAAATGTGGGCATGACTGAACAAGACCATCAGTAATATCCTTAATTTCAATAAGCCGTTTAAGCATAAGGAAAGTAGAGTTTCACCTTATATCAATATCAAGTTCGGGATAAAGAAAGGGTCGATTTAAAATAGCTGATATTTTTTTAATATCTTCTAGGAGTAATGATGAATGTCTAACTTTATTACAAAAACACTGCACCTTTTTTATTTAGTTGTCATAAAGTTTTTGACCCTCTTTTACGATAAGATTTAAGACATGTATAGTACAATGTACATATATCAAATCAGGGTTCATATTTTGATAAAGATAATACAAGCAAGTTTGGTTATTCGCTGCATTATCTTCAGTGAATTCAATTATCTTTTCTTTGATCTCAAAGTCCTCTATGAGCTTAAGGACATTTTTTCCAAGATAGTCACCAGTGTGAGCATTGTGCAAAGGAATAAAATCAAGAAGAATAGTATGTGTCATCCATTCTACATCAACCCAATAAATGGTAACTCCAAGGAAGGGCTGCTGAGTGCATACAGTCCATACATCTAGAGTAAGAGCTAGTTTACTTTGATTGTTTTTTAAAATGTCTTTTATTTTTAATTTTTCTAATTTAAATTTTTGTTTAATATCATCGAAAATGGTTCTATAGCAAGAGATTTTATAATGTGGGTCAAGGGCAGAAACAAATTTAATAAAAAAATTTTCTTTGATGAGTGAAAAGGGTTGTTGGCTAACTATGATGAATTTTAATAAGCTACGGTCTAATAGTTCTACATGGTCTCTATCATTGACTGAATATGGAAAAGAGCAAATAGATTTCAATTTTTGAAATTCCTTAAAAATATGTAGGTGATTTTGTTCAAAATGACACGTTATTGGTGTTAATGATGTGTATGGACCCCATTTACCTATATTATTATCACAAGCCTTGCAAACACAAGTGCCATCATCAAGTATATTAAAATACTTATAAATAGGTGCAGATTTTTGTTTTTTATTTTTTGGGTTGTTTGTAGTTTGATTCAAGTTACTGATACCCTGTGAGGAGCTTTCAAAAAAAGATTCGATTGTTATAGTAAACATAGTGTTGATAGAGTAATATCAAAAGTAGATGGTAAAAATTGAGCAAAGGCGATTTTATATACTGTATATATATATTTTAAAGATTTATACAAACACTGTAAAATGGGATGATTAAATTTATAAATTTTTTTTAGAATAATAAAAACCATATTATAATTATTATAATTGTCATGTGTATATTTTTGTAAGTGTACTAAATATATTTATAAAGCAAAACCTCTCTTGATCAAAAGTATCTTTATTACAATAAATTTAGCTACCATTAACAAGAATATAGAAGTATATAAATGTGTTTATTCCAAATACATACTGTATCACATTTTTAATTATTTATCAATAAGATTACACATTGAATTATACTCCTAAAGAAGATAAATATAATTTTAGCATACAAAATAAATTTAGAATCATTTAGAATCATAATATTGTATATAGCAAATTATATCATTAATAAAACATCTACTTGTGAATATGGTTTAACAATTACTATAATTTGGAAAATTGATTACAAAATGATTTGATTATTTAATTTTTTTGACCATGACCGATTATAAAAAATTTTTTTGATCCCTGTACAAAAATAAATAACGATAAATAAATAAAATAGTTAATATTATTTGATATAAATAACTTAATTACTTGACTATTAACTGCTAATCGCATTTGATTAATTATTAAATTCTAATAGTTATTAATTTTTTTTTTTTTTTTTTTATCAAGGGAGGTCTTTCCTCTAGTTCTTTATTAGATAAAATTATGAATTGTAACAGAGTTAAAATTGAAATTTTACATTTACAAAGTAGAAGTTAGGACATCTTATCCTCGACCAAGCCTTCACTAG